GAGGGGAACGTCAAGCAGATGTGGGAAGGGATCAGTGGAATGGTAAAAAAAGACCGCGCAAGGGGGGGATACAGGGGTCGCAACTTTGCGAGGTGTGAACGGTGGATTAGTCAGCAGTGGGAAGGGAAAAAGGGAAGTTCTAGCAGGACACTACAAGAGACTTGGAGTGCCCTCGGAGAATGAAGCTTTTGACCAAGCGTTTAAGAAGGAGGTGGACGCATGGGCCCAAAAAGAAGAAGAGACATCGAAGGCAGACGTTGGGAACGTAGAGCTAGAAAAGGAGTTCACTGGGGACGAGGTTGAGGCGTGTGTGAACAAGCTGAAGTGCCACAAAGCAGCAGGAGCGGATGGGATAGTCAACGAGTTCATGAAGTTTGGGGGGAAGGGGATGATCCAGCTGATGGTACTGCTGTACAATTGGGTGTGGAAAAACGAGTATACGCCAAGTAGATGGAGGGAAGGAGTGGTTGTGAACTTGTTTAAGAAAGGAGACAAGACTGACCCAGGAAACTACAGGGGGATCACACTGTTGAACACAGTAGGAAAAGTGTTCTGTAGGTTGTTGAACGATAGGATAGTGGGAGCATTGGAGAAAGAACATAACATTAGTGAGGGCCAGGCAGGTTTCCGCAAGAAGAGGGGGTGCGTAGACCACGTGTTCACGGTAGGGAGAATCATCCAAGGTAGAAAGAGGGCGGGAAAGCCGACGTACTGCTTCTTCCTGGACGTGAAAAAAGCATACGATACCGTATGGAGAAACGGGTTGTGGAAACAACTGTTCAGATACGGGATCAAGGGTAAAATGTGGAGAGTGCTGAAGAAGATGACAGAGTGCACGAAAAGCGCGGTCATGCTAGACGGAGAACTGTCAAAATTCTTCGACATTGAGCAGGGGGTCCCANGGAAAGAATCCAAGGATAAGGAGGGTCTAGAAGTGTACGGAATGTTGAAGGAAGGAATAGGGTTCAAGGACTACCTACATGGACCAATGGATGCAGGAACAAAGCTTAAGGTCAAAGTCAGGACCGGGGGACATAGGCCTTGGAGAACGTCGATGAAGAC